TAAGAGTTTGTCCAGGCTTGTCCTTTGCTACAAAAAGGATTGGGCCACCTTGCTGCACTTTATTTACTTTTGTTACTTGTTGCTAGTTACCATTTATCTTATCACAAAACTATCTGTTACCACTTATTTCAGTACTTGCAGAGAATACCTTGCTGAAAACCGCTTATCATTTCCTTCTGCTCCTCGTTGGGTTCGACACTCTTACTTATCGAAAGGACTACGATAGATCCCCTATACTTGTGGGTCATCAAGGGGTCACGGGACGACCGTGAAGATGGAGTACGATGAGCGGTATGCGCCATTCTATAGGAGAGCCCGACTGTTGGGTTTCGTCCTGTAGTTCAAGCACAAGCCGCCGACGCTCGTCCACTCAGCTCTCACGGCTTTGATCGATCGGTGGCAGCCAGAGACGCACAGCTTCCATCTTCCATGTGGGGAGATGATGGTTACACTCGAGGATTGGGGGATGATTACGGGCCTATCGCTCGAGGGTCTTGCTCTCACAGGACGAGTGGAGAGGAAGAACTGGCACGATATGGTTATCTCCCTCATCGGCGACTGCCCCCCAGATAAGAAGAACCGGACTTCTGGCGTCCCGCTGCCCTGGCTCCTAAAGTACCGGAGCAAGTGCCTGGAAGGTGCCGAACCCCAGTGGTGGAGCAGTACGCCAAGGCCTACCTGTGGTATCTTCTCATGGAGGTAGTGTTTCCAGACTGCTCTGGGGACACTGACCTCTGGATGTATCTCGACTTCCTGGCGGACTGGGATGCAGGGTACAGCTGGGGGCCCGCCGGCCTTGCCTACCTATACTGTTCGGTAAGTGAATAATATCACATTGTTTCAAATACCATGGATGTGTGCTACTTTGGATTTTGTCATCTTATCATCTATACTTGTTTTGTAGCTTGACGACGGAACCCAGAGGACGGAATCTATGTCCGATATGTGTGGATGTGTATGGGGCCTCTCCATTTGGATGTGGGAGCGAATTCTGGTGGGGCATCTGAATAAGCTTAGAGCGTGCGCATGGACTGACTATGGCGAAGATGGCGACGATGCTCGATACCCAAATGCCGCATACGCTTGGGACGTGGTGGGTACAATATCGGGTGAATCCATGGCCTTGTACAAGATCTTCAGCAACGAGCTTGATGCTCTGACGCCTTTCCAGGTATAAGAACTAGATTTCGAATGTGGTCGACAACACTTTCACTTGAGCTTACCACTTTTGGCACTAGGTTAACTGGTGGTCGTATGCTAACGACCGACAGTGGGGGTTCGAGCTAAACGTGATGTGCACGCAACACAAGCTTCTCTAGCGGTGCATCGTGCCCATAATTTTTGTATATGTCGTCGAGTACCACTTGTCATAGCGCGTTGCCGTGCAATTTGGTAAGGCGCAACGGACACCACCAGGCGACATCGTCAAAGATTCCGGTGGCTACGACCTCCACTTGTGAGTACCACCGCCCGTTCTCATCATTACCAACTTCCGTTTTGATGTTTTACCTTCTTCCTAATGGTGTTTTACATTCTTTCTTATGCTTTGCAAGATGAGTAGGAAGAAGAATCAGTCTATCACCGATTGGGGAGAGCAACACGCCAAATACATGACTGAATGGAACCAGTGGAAAACTCGCAAAGATGTGGAGAGAAAAGTGATTGACTGGGAGTAGTACGGGGATCATCTGCTGTGGTACGACGATGGCATCAAGCATCGTCTGCGCCTAAGGCCACAGTGTGCGACAGAAGATGCTGAAAATCTGTATGAGGACGACTCCAAGAATGAATCCTACAATGACAGCATCAGAGAGCTACAAGGCATATTTAGGGAGTATGGACCCATCATGAACAGAGTGGTAAGTTTTTTTATCAATTTTCAACCGACGGTTGGATGAAATCAACTTTAGTGCTAGTCACTCATTTTATTACATTGCAGTCTTCGGAGCTGAACAAAAGCATCTTTGATGCCTCTAATGCGCTTAGTTCTATCCCCAGGACTCGAGCTAGTGAGAACAAGTTGAGGGTAACGGTGAAGGTAACATGGAGTTCATTTTCTTAAGTTCATTTTCATTTTTAACAATAAAGTTGATCCATATTATGCTTATTGTTTCTTTCTCATTGCAGAAGTTCGTCAAAAAATGTCGCAAGATTGTGCGCCTACTTGGGTGTGCCACCTCCTCTGCTGATGTTTTTGCTCCTGCAGCACCGATGCGTAGCCTCGCTTCATCGAGCTAGGCCGCCTCGTCGTCTATGGCGGTTCAAGATGACGAGGAGGAGGGCGAGGACGATGATGATGAAGAGGAAGATGAAGAAGAGGGCGAGGAAGAGGGAGCAGAAGAAGAACATGGTGAAGAAGAGGAAGAGGACGATGAGGAGGAGGAGGAGTACAATGATGACGACGGACCTCCATCAACTCAGACAACCCAGCTTGAGAAGAGGAATGTGCCAAAGAAGGATTGGAAGAGTCCATCCCCGTTTCAGAAAGCGCGTCCTACTCACCGCAATGCCGAGAAGCGATCAAAGACCAACGAGGACCGGACCGCGAAGAGGGGAAGGAGGGACTGAAGTTGCTGTTGTGTCGTGCTATTCAACTAGAAACTTTCATGTTTGCTTCATGAACCATTTGCTCATGAAACTATTTCGTATTTGTTGAACTTGCTATGTAAAACTTTGTGAAACATCTATGGATGTGTGCTTGTTATGTAACCAACTTTCTTATTTGTGGATTTGTGGATGTGTGCTTGCTATGTGATACATATGATTCATTTTATAAGTATTGTTACGTGCAAAAAATTGAAGACAAGAAAAGTTAGGAGGTGCAAAAAGTGAACTAGGGGCCTTCCTACCGCCAGGACCCATGGAGGTAGGTTTGTACATCCTACCGCCACACACACTGGAGGTAAGGGGCCTCCCCCCCCCCCACACGCCTGCCTCCTATAACCAAAACTGCCACCAAATCAGCGGTAGGATTGCACACCCTACCGCTAGGCCTCATGGCGGTAGGAGCCTACCGCCAAAGGATCTAGCGGTAGGGTGTGCAACCCTACCGACCTTATTGCGTGTTCCTCGTCACAGAACGGGTGTCAGATGCGCCGACCCTACCGCCGAGCCCTACGGCGGTAGGATGTCTTGCCCTAC